TCAAATTCATAAGCTTTTAGATCACTAAAGAGCTTATCGGTTGATAGGTTTTTAGATCCCTATGATCTCTCATGGCTGTGACCTTCATGTCCCATGTAGATGGTAGACCACGTAGAATTTTGAGTGAGATTTCTTTTTGATTAATATCTTTTCCAAGATCATTAATCTCTCCTAAGATTTTGGCAAATCTTGTTTCCATGTCGGTAATATTCTCGCCGGTTAGCATTTTGAAATCCTCGAATTTCTTTAATGCTATAGTGAGTTTATTATCCTTTTCTTATTCGTCTCCTTCACCAATTTGAATGAGCGTTTCCCATACTTCCTTCGCGGATTGACACTTTCGAACTTTTGGAAATATCGTGTCATCGATAGATTTAAACAAAATATCCTTGGCAATATTGTCCAAGTTATTTCTTGTTCTATCTTCACGAGACCATTCCACTTTCGGTTTTGGAATGTATTGTGGAGTGTCACTTGTTTGTACGGATGAAGTGTTGACTTGCAAAATCTCAATAGGACCACTTGTAACCACTTCCCGATAGGGTGGTGAAAGTCTAGAGGGGGGGGGGGGGGTGAATAGACTTTCAAGCTTTTTCAGATTAAATAACTCTTTGGTAACTTCAACTCTAAATAGAGCAAGTTTGTACTGCACAGCGGAATAATAGTAAAGAGTTATGCCCAACTAGTAAATTAAGTGTGCAGGTATAAGTAAGTTAGGTACAAATGATATGTAAAGTGACAGAGATATCTTGAATATATAGAGGAGATGGTTCACTCAATATATAATGACAATATTCAAGATTGTAAATAAATATCGTATCACGTCGAAAGTGTGACGAATGTTACATGCAACACGTCAAACTTGCTTAGAATAAATCACTATTTAAGCTTGAGAAGTTTGAGTCACATGCATACGTGAGAACACACTAAACCCGGATGATTAAGATTAACTGTGAATAGTAAACGGGTTAGTCGGATGAGATAGATAGATATAGCAAATAAAGTAAGTGCGGTATGTAAATGAGAGAGGCAATTTATAGTGGTTCGGAAGTGGCGTAATCTTCCTAGTCCACTTTTCTCCTTTCACGTCTAGGAGAAATTCACTATTTTCCACACACAGTTACAATAGTGAACAAGTGCTACACAGGCACTTCCTCCGGATGTCTTGCACACAGCTACACCCTACTCCGAGTGTCTCGCACACAGCTACACTCAACTCCGAGTATTTCGCACACAGCTATACTCAACGCCAACTAAGTGTTTTGCACACAGCTATACTCTTTCTACAGTTTACAAATACAAGGATTTGTATTTCTCTCTCCAACTAGATTTTGAGACTATTCAGACTAAGTCTCTTTGAATATTTGAGCACTAGCACTTTTGAATTTTGCACTTGTATTCTATCTCGTTTTTCTCTGTTCTTCTCACGCTCTTTGTCTTCAAGTCTTCATGGCTTTTTATACTCAATCAAATATATCCGTTGGAGTGGGATAATTTGATATTTGAATTTTGAATCTTCATAGCCTGATATTGTTGACAGTAGATCTTCAATTTTGATTTGATTTGTCAACTTGCCTGACAAAGTAATTATTTCTAGCACAACTTTGATTTTCTAGTTGTTTCTAAAAATATTACTTTAATTGTCAATTTGAATATCCAACGAATCTTTGAAATAAATTCATCTGATAGAATTTATTTCTAGGATAAGTTTTTATATTCATGCCTTCATAAATATTTTTCCGTTCTGATCAAATGTCTTTCAGGCAATTTTGGAGTCTTGTGGCATGTGGGTGGACTTGGAGTAAATTCCTTCGAATTTATCCAATTTCTGATCATCTTGCTCTTTTGCCACATTGTGCTCCTTTGACTTGAACATCGTGCTCCTTGACTTTGAACATTTTGCTTCTTTCGATACATTGTGCTCTTCTGACAGCATTGTGCTCCTTAGCAGCATTGTGCTTCTTAGGTGGCATTGTGCTCCTTAGCAGAATTGGTCACATTGTGCTCCTTTGGTGAGCATCGTGCTCCTTCGAACACATTGTGCTCCTTCGAACACATTGTGCTCTTTTGAACACATCGTGCTCCTTCGGACACATTGTGCTCTTTTGAACACATCGTGCTCTTTTGAACACATCGTGCTCCTTCGGACACATTGTGCTCTTTTGAACACATCGTGCTCCTTTAGCACACATTGTGCTCCTTCAAAAATCTGCCTTTTCCTTGGGGGGGGGGGGGGGGAAATCGATCTCGGGTGTGATCATTTAGAGTAAGGACCTCTACCATTTCGCCGTTAGGCTCATCCGGTCATTCCTTGCAACGCCATTGCTTTATGCTTCTTTCACGGATGAATACTCGTAGGACCAAAATTAATTTCTCAAATTAATTTTGTTCTTCCTATGGTAGATTCCTTCTGATTTCAATATTCTGATTTATGATGCTTGTACTAAAGACTTAAAAACAAAGGGGATCTAAAGATACATTTGGCTCATCAAAACTTACAAAAATATTCCTATCAGACTGATTTGAAGAGAAGATTCAGTAAACAAGATCTGTTTAGAATTGCTGAAATTAAATGTGAGATATACCAGACTAAGCAAGGTCATAATCTGTTGAATGAGTATTTTACCAGACAGAAACTGCTACGGGATGAACTTGCAATTCTAAAACCTCGGGTGTACTGTGATTGTGTAAACAAGTGTGAATGTGGGAAGAAGATTGATGATCTAAATGAACAGTCTGAAATGGATAAATTGTTTATTTTCTTGATTGGCCTACACGAAAGATATACAGGGGCTAGAAATCAAATCATGCTCATGAGGTCATTACCTGATGTCAATGAAGCTTATTCCATGGTTGCACAATAAGAAAAGCAATTTCAGATAGCAAATGGAAGTTTTGAAAGCCAGCTGTATCAAGCAGGAGAAACCAGTTCTACAAGCACTGCTTTAATGGCTAGGATAGAAGGAAATTTTCAGTGAGGAAGCAAGAAGGGCACATTCAATAACAAGAGGCCTGTGTGCACCTACTGTGGTTACACAGGACACACCCAAGACAATTGTTACAAACAACATGGCTATCCACCTAGTTGGAAGCCAATACCAAGGAACCAAGCCTCATCAAATCAAGTCCAAAGGCCATCAGGAGAACATCAGTCTGCCAATAATAGAAGCATGGCCTTCACACAAGATGATTTCAAGAGGTTCTTGGACTTTATAAAGACAAAAGATCCAGCCCTTGAACCCATGAACTCACCTCTGGATCAATCATCACAGGTGTTCATCAACACTGCCTCAGTTGATCTGCATGATGGAGGTATACTCCCTTCACTTAACTCTCTTAGATGTGACAAGAATAACTGGATTGTGGACAGTGGTGTCACTCATCATATTGTTTGTGATTTGGAACTGTTAGTAGTCACAAGAAGGCTTATAACTTGCATGTCAGTCTACCTAATGGATAGCAGGCTGAAATTGCTTCTGTTGGATCAGTTATTCGTCTTATGAGTTTATCTTAGATAGTGTGCTTTGTGTCCCTGGATTCCATTACAACTTGATCTCTGTAGCATCCTTTACTAACGACACTAGCTGCAGTATGAAAATGTGGGCTGATCAGTGTATTATACAGGATTCTCATGGCAAAGTAATTGGAAGGACTAACCTAAAAAACGGGCTGTATTACCTTGTTTCTCATGTTCTTTCTTCAATTGTCTGTAATTCCATTTCTAGCACAAACAAATGTACTATGTGGCATGCCTCATACTCCAAAGTAGTTTTGTTAAAGGAGCATGATCCTATGATACATGTTGATAAGAATTTGATATGTGATAGTTGTTATTTGGCAAAACATAAAAGGCTTCCATTCCAATCTAGTGTTTCTTTGTCAAGTAATTGCTTTGATTTAGTGCATATTGATATATGTGGTCCCTACAAAATAGCCAACATTCATAGCCAGCACTACTTTCTCACTATTTTGGATGATCATAGTAGGACTGTTTGGATATATTTGATGAATTTAAAATCAGAAGTCAGAGATATAATCAGAGGATTCTGCAATCTGGTAGAGAATCAATTTGGGGCTCAAATAAAATGCATAAGGACTGATAATGGCTTAGAGTTCAACATGCTTGATTTTTTCAGACAGAAGGGAATTGTGCATCAAACTTCATGCACCTACACTCCTCAGCAGAACAGTAGAGTGGAGACAAAGCATGGGCATTTGCAATCTATTGCAAGGGCTCTCAAGTTCCAAGAAAATTTTCCAGAACATTTTTGGGGTGAGTGTTTACTTCATGTAGCCTACATCATCAACAGACTGCCATCCAGTGCTATCAACAATCAGGTCCCTTACAAGGTTTTGATGGGAAAAGTTCCACAATATCATCATTTGAAGGTTTTTGGGTGCTTAGCTTATGCAACTACTATAGGACCAAGGTTTAAGTTGGATGCTAAAGCCAAGAGGTGTATCTTTCTTGGTTATGCCAGTGGTACTAAAGGACACAAGTTGTATGATCTGGTGTCCAAACAGGTATTCATATCAAGAGATGTTGTTTTCTATGAGCACTTGTTTCCCTTCCAGCAGGTCCGTCACTCACAAGAAGGGATCTGTCAAATAACACTTCTTACTATGAATCAGGCCCCTATGGAAGATCCAGATACACCTCAATCTTGTGAGCAGCCAAACAATACTGAGCAGGATCATGGAGATGAGATACCTGAACAGCCAACAGATATGCATATCCATGATATCCATGATCAAGCCAATAGCAGCACAGAACATACATGTTCTCATTCATTGAGTGAACAACACTTGAAGTACTACAAAAATCTCATTCCCTAGTGAGGAGCAATCAGCAAGTTACAAGAAGATCTACAATACAGAAACAGGTTCCTAACTATCTACAAGACTATGTTTGCCAAAATGCAACAGTCAAGACTACACCTTATCCTGTATGTACAGTGCTGAGCTATAAAAGGCTTGAGCCTTCCTTCCAGTCCTTTGCCATGAACATCATCAGCCATTCTGAACCAAAAACCTATCAGGAAGCAGTCCAACATGAGTGTTGGAGAAAGGCAATGCAGGATGAGATCACAGCTTTGGAAAGGAACAATACATGGAAATTGGTGAGTCTACCCCCTTCCAATAAACCAATTGGTTGCAAATGGGTTTATAAGGTCAAACATAAGGCTGATGGAACAATAGACAGATACAAGGCAAGACTTGCAGCTAAGGGCTACAACCAAACACTTGGGGTTGATTACTTGGACACATTCAGTCCAGTAGCTAAGATGACTACCATTAGAACTCTCCTAGTAGTTGCAGCAGCAAAGAACTGGCACATACACCAAATGGATGTCAACAATGTTTTTCTCCATGGGGATTTAGAAGAAGAAGTATATATGCAGCCACATCTTGGTTTCCTAGGAGCAGAAAGTGGGCAGGTATGCAAGTTCATCAAGTCTTTATATGGCTTGAAACAAGCCAGTAGGCAATGGAACACTAAGTTGAGTATTGCCCTACAAAATATGAGATTCAGACAATCCCTACCTGATAATTCCTTGTTTAGTGAAAATAGCTCCTTTGTAGCATTGTTAGTATATGGTGATGATATAATTGTTGCAAGTGCTGAACTAGACATCATACAAGAAGTTAAGAAGCAGCTTAATGACAGTTTTCAGATCAAAGATCTAGGGCCTATAAAGTATTTCCTTGGCCTAGAAGTTGCTAGACAAAAGAAGGGAATTGTAGTCTGCCAGAGAAAATATGCTTTGGAGCTGCTTGATGACACGGGTTACACTAATGCAAAACCAGTACACAGCCCTACAGTTCCCTCACACAAACTAAGCAAGAATGAGGGAGAGCCACTTGAAGATAACTCACAGTACAGAAGAATAGTAGGCAAGCTCATATACTTGACAATTACCAGACCTGATATTAGTTTTGCTACTCAACAGTTATCTCAATTCCTTGACAAACCTACTCATCTACATATGCAAGCTGCTCACAGAGTGTTGAGATATATAAAAGCTGCCCCTGGTCAAGGACTTTTCTTCCCAACAACATCTGATTTACAGCTCAAGGCTTTTTTTTTTTATTCTGATTGGGGGGCTTGTATTGATACAAGAAAATCTGTTACTGGTTTCTGTGTATTCCTAGGGGAGGCTCTGATTTCATGGAAGTCTAAGAAGCAAGCAACAGTCTCTAAATCATCCTCAGAGGCAGAATATAGAGCATTAGCAGCCACAACTTGTGAAGTGCAATGGTTAACTTTTCTATTGTATTCGTCCCAATCGTCCAAACACCTGAAAGAGTGAAAGTTATGGGATGTAAATGGGTTTTTGTAAGAAAGAGAAATGAGAGAAATGAAGTTACGAGATACAAAGCAAGACTCGTAGCTCAAGGATTCTCTCAAAGACCAGGTATCGATTATGATGAAACATATTCCCCCGTAGTGGATGCTATAACATTACGATACCTTATTAGCTTAACTGTACATGAAAGGCTAAATATGCAACTAATGGATGTGGTAATAACTTATCTGTATAGATCACTTGATAGTGATATCTATATGAAAATCCCTGAAGGATTGAAAATGGCTGAAAGGCATAAAACGAGTCCTCGAGAACTTTATTCAATAAAGTTACAAAGATCTTTATATGGATTAAAACAATCAGGATGCATGTGGTATAACCGACTTAGTGAATATTTACTAAAAGAAGGTTATACCAATGATCAAATTTCTCCATGTGTTTTTATAAAGAGATCTAAACATGGATTCGTTATAATCGTTGTTTATGTTGATGATTTGAACATCATTGGAACCCCCGAGGAAATCTCAAAAACAGTGGATTATTTGAAAATGGAATTTGAGATGAAAGATCTTGGGATAACAAAATTCCGTCTTAGCCTACAAATTGAACATTTGGATAAAGGAATTTTTGTCCATCAATCAAATTATACAAAAAGGGTCCTTAGGAGATTTTATATGGATAAAGCACATCCATTGAGTAGCCCGATGAGTGTTCGATCTCTTGATGTGAAAAATGACCTTTTTCGACCTCAAGAAGATGATGAAGAAATCCTTGGTCCAGAAGTGCCATATCTTAGTGCAATAGGTGCACTAATGTATCTTGCTAACAACACAAGCCCTGATATTGCATTTTCTGTTAATTTGTTAACAAGATATAGTTCTTGTCCAACACGAAGGCACTGGAATGGCATCAAGCATATATTACGCTACCTCCAAGGAATTGTTTATTTGGGGTTATTTTATGCAAAAGATTCTAAATTAGACTTGGTTGGTTTTGCAGATGTTGGGTATCTTTCGGATCCGCATAAAGTCGATCCCAAACTGGTTATTTGTTTATGAGTGCAGGTACAACTATATCTTGGCGTTCCACTAAGCAAACACTTGTTGCCACTTCTTCAAATCATGTTGAGCTAATCGCTATTCATGAAGCAAGTCGAGAGTGTGTATGACCTAAATCAATTGCTCAATACATTAGCGAAGCATGTGGTCTATCTGTGGATGACACTCCAACAACAACATATGAAGACAATGCAGCATGTATCGCCCAGTTGAAGGAGGGAAACATCAAGGGAGACAGAATAAAGCACATTTCACCAAAGTTCTTCTTCACTCATAACCTTTAGAAAAAAGGTGAAATCAATATTCAACAGATTCGTTCAAGTGAGAACTTAGCAAATCTGTTCCCCAATATTCACTCATGACCTTCAGAAAAAAGATGTACAACGCCTTTGAAATAAAATGAGGATATATATATATATATATATATATATATATATATATATATATATCCGATTTGGTCTATATTTTAAACAGGTCAACAAATATAATTTGTAACGCAACTGAGCAACTAGAGGCTAGCTGGCTAAACTAGAACTAGTTTGCCAGCCAACTTATTACTTAAAATTATATTATGTGTTTGTAAATATTAATTTTTGTATAATTCAATATTTGAATCGATCTCTAATCCCATAATTAACAACTAATATCCCACCTAATTAAATAATTTGTATTTTTTTTATAAAATATTTAGTTTGTGCATATAATGTTTGTTTAGATTTGGGGTGGGCGTTTCGGATTTCGGTTCAGGTTTTTAGATTTCGGTTTTTCAATTAAAAAAATAAATAAATAAATAAATAAATAAGTTAAACCATTCGGTTTAACGTTAGATTTCCGTTCGGTTCGATTACGGTTCAGATTTAATTCGGTTCGGTTTAAGATCTCCAAATTTCAACATTTCATAATTTTTCGAACATACTATCAAACAATACATATTCACATAATCCAAATCCAAACTCTAAACATTATATAACAAAATAGCAATCAAAGTTCAAACACAATACTAAGTACTAATTACCAAGCATCAGTTAACTCTTTTGCACAACCGACTCTTCAGTTGGTTCGCTTGAAATGTTTTATTGACAAGATGAATAATCATCTATCTGTAAAGTTGATATTAGAAGAACAAGTGTCAAGTACTATATAATTTATTTTTGGACACAATCTGTCATTGTTAGTGCACTCGAAATATATTCCAGTGCTATAAAATAATTATAGTGCATTGGAAATTAACATTAGAATGTCTGTAAAGCACATTAAATTTAATTTATAGAAACATGAAACAAAAAAAAAAACAAAAAAAAAAAAAAAAAAAAAAAAAAAAACCCTTAATATTGTAAATATAACTCAAGTTAAATATAATTGTGAGGTAAAGAACAATTGCGACAAACAACAAAAGTGCAATATAGAGAACAAACTATAAAGAAATCAAATAAAAGCTTTAAGGGAGATACCAGTGAGAATAAAAATTGAACGGCAAAGCAGGCATCAAGAGACTTGGATTTACTTTATTATTATTATTATTATTATTATTATTATTATTATTATTATTATTATTATTATTATTTATAAAAAAAAAATTTATATGATATTCAGTTCGGTTCGATTTTTGTCAAACCGTTCGGTTTCGGTTCGATTCGGTACCGAACCGTTCAATGTTCTATTACTAGTTCGGATCGGATAAACAGAACCGAATTGCCCACTCCTAGTTTAGATAATTAAATTTAAATTTTAATTGGTTTAACCTATATTTTAACATTTTAAAATATGTATATAATATTTTTATTTTATAATTATAATATCTTTAATTCAACGCCCTATTAATTCGCAAAGTTGATAAAACATATAGTTTATAAATTTATGTAATTTATCTAATAATTAATAAATAAACTTATATTAACTCTATATTTATATGAAAGCTTATGTAAAGTTATAATTTGTCATATTAATTAATGATGGTAAGAAACATAATTTGATTAATTTAAATATATAAAATTTAACTAATTTTTATTGTTTATATGCTTTTTTTAGTACACCATGAACTGGAATGGGATTTGAGTATATAAAATTTAACTATAATGTTTATTTGAACCAGAGACCTTCATTAGGGAAAACAAATGTGATGTTATCAAATCACAGGTGCTTGCTTATATGTTATAGGGAAAGGGTCAAATATGCCCTCAACTTTAGCTTAAAAGTCAATTAGGCCCTAAACCTTTTAAAGGTTCAATTACACCCATCAACAATTCATTTAGGTGCAATGAAGCCCAAAAACAAGTTAATGATCTGCTATCACAGGTCATTAGGGTTCAAGCCACCTTCCGGCGAATTTTTCGACAAAAAAAAGGTGACCAGCAACCGACTCAGATTTGCCGAAAATTTTGCCGGTCACTTCTTTTGTCGAAAATTTCGCCGGTCACTTTTTTTTTTTTTTTGCTGGAAAATTCGCCGGAAGGTGGCCTGAACCCTAATGACATGTGATAGCATGTAATTAATTTGTTTTTGGGCTTCATTGCACTTAAATGAATTGTTGATGAATGTAATTGCACCTTTAAAAAGTTTAGAGGCCTAATTGACTTTTAAACTAAAGTTCGAGGACCTATTTGATCCTTTTTCCCGTTGTTATATAATACTTATATAACTATATTTTTTTTTTGAAGAAATATAAATATATATAACTAAACTACAGTACAAAATATTTATTACATTATTGTTGTATATATTTAGCATGTGAGGTTATCCCCAGGATGAACACCAAGTTGCTGGCAGTACTGTGTGTAATACTCAACCCTCTTCCTAACGGTGACCGGATTAGTCCCGTCGCACTCAAGTTGGCCGCTGATGGTGCGAATGGTGGCGCCAAAACCCTGACCGGTGGTGATGAGAGAATGGCAGTTGTTCATCCAAAACCACAGGGCGGTTTTGAAGGAAATAACCGGGTCTGTGGCGACGACGTCCGGATTGTTTAGACCGTCGAAACCGATGCTTTGGCCGGCCGGTCCATAGTTGAAATTCCAGGATAGTTGGAACGGCCCACGACCATAGTACTTCTTTCCGGGTGCACAGGGATATTGTTTGTTGCTCTTGTCGCAGAAGTCTCTGGATGCACCGTCAATCTCATTTATGTAGCACATATCTGAAAATAAATTTTAATAACAAAATTTACCAATAATTTAGAAACACTTCTTCTGCCAGTAAAGGTAAAGTCCAGAAATTGGTACGTGGCTACTGGCTAGGGTATTGTTGAGATGAGGTTGGTAAAGGGCCAAGCTCAGCACTCTGACTGTCGAAAATGTGTGACGGGATAAGGAAATGAAGTTACGTTTTCGCTACTAGCCGTGATAAGCGTCAGGAGCTTGAATCCCAACAAGAGTTAAGACTAATTAGTGCCAGAAGGAATAGCTGGTAAAGAGCTAAGTCTAGCACCCTGACTCTAGAAAATAGGTGGCGGTATAAGGAAATAAAGTTACATCTTCTCCTACTATCTATAATTTTGGAATAAGGGTCAAATAGGCTACTCAATTGCACACCAAAGTGCAATTAGGCCACCGAACTCAAAAAAGATGCAATTGGGTTCTTAAACAACACAAAATTATGCAATTAGGTCCAAAATGACCTGTTTACCTGAAATTGTAGGTTACCTATTTTAAAAATAATTTTTAAAACTAATTTTAAATAAAATAATTAATTAAAATTAAAAAAAAAATTAAACATGTCGGAGACGAAGAGCTTGGTTGGAGACGAAGACCTTCGTCTCCATGGTCAGGAGACAAAGGTTCTCCCTGACCATGGGGACGAACCTGCTGGAGACGAATCGTCTCCGCCAGGTTTAGTTTATATATATATATATATATATATATATATATATATATATATATATATATATATATATATATATATATATAAATTAATTGTTTTATTTAAAATTAGTTTTACATTTTTTTTTAATCGGTAACCTACAACATCAGGTAAACAGGTTATTTTAGACCTAATTGTATAATTTTGTGTTGTTCAGAGATTTAATTGCATCTTTTTAATGTTCAATCATCTAATTGCACTTTGGTGTGCACTTCAGTGGCCTATTTGACCCTTATTCCTATAATTTTGAGTGCACTAGTAAACGTATGATCCTAACACTTAAAAAAGATGATTAACTTACTTCCAGTTTCGTAAGTAACGTGGGCGAAAAACGCCGCAATTTCCCGCTTAGAGTCATCGGCGCTACCAACCGTTCCGAACTGCGGATAAGAGTTGACGGCGTCAAGAAACGAAGTTCGCGTGTAGAAGCCCTTCCCTTCGCAGCCGGAATCCGCCTGATCGGCAATTCCGTTGAAAAACGCATCTGACACGATGTCGGAAACGGACCCGCCGCTGCTTGGAGAGATTGCAATAAGAGCTAAGCATACCAAAAGTGAACCAAAATAAGCCATTTTAATTTCACTATTGCAAAAGTGTTGGCGATAGGAGTATTTATAGTGTAAAGAGGGTTATCTGATGGCTGCAAATTTGCTTTATATTGACTTTGGCTGCAAATTACCTCATTATATTTTTAAAGATGAGGTGATTCATATTCATACGGTTTTTGTGTATTTGTTGACTTTGACTTTGACTTTGACTTTTTATCCATCTCAATTCCTCCATTATACGGAGTATTTATTACTTAGAACTAATATTGTATTTACTTTGACTTGCATGATCTCAATACCTTCGTTGGGATAATAGAATATATTTTTTAAAAAATAATTTATTTTTCAAAAAATATTTTCATTTTCTTGTATATACTAAAAATAAAAAATTAATCTTTTTCTATTTAACTAAAAGTTAAAAATTATATTTTTTCAGTTTGATTCATCTATTTAATACACCAACATATATCAATTACAAAATTATTTCTTTTAAAATATTAATTTTTAATGTTGGTCATAATTTTTATTTATTTTTAAATAACATTTATGACTTAAATATGGCGTTGTTTGGTAGAGTTTATTTTAGAGCTTATGACTTATTTTAAACTACTAAGCTATAAGATTTGTTTGGAAAAACATAAGAGTTTAAAAGAATAGCTTATTTTTAATAGTAATTATAATAAAAATGTAAATAAATACTTTTTAACTTGTAACATATTATAATAAAAATAAATACATGAATTGATAAATATATAATTCTAAACTAAAGAAATTGAACAAAAAATATTTTTTTTGGATGTGGGCCAAGCCAAAAAATATATATATTTTTATTATATGGTTTCTATACTCAATTCATATTTAATTAGATACTGATAAATGTAATAACTCTTAATTAAAAAATTGGAGAATAACTAGCTAGGTTGGCATGGGTGGTCGTGCACTCTCATTCCTTAAGATAGGTTGGGAGTTCAAACCTCATCTCGTATGAAAAAATTAATTTGGCTAGCACTTTGTCCCTCCTATAGTTAGGGTCTGCTTATGACATCTCATGGCCTGACAAAAAAAAAAAGAAATTGATGAATTTTTTATTTTTATTCCTCCTATAGTTAGGGTCTGCTTAGGACATCTCATGGCCTGACAAAAAAAAAAAATTGACGAATTTTTTATTTTTATTTGTTATGGGGAAGGTTAAGAACTCAACATTTTTATTGCTTAGTGACCCAACTAAATTCATGTTTTAATTACTCGTTGATAAATGTAATAAGTCTAAACTAAAAAAATTAAAATTAAAATAATAATTATTGTTTGACCCTGCTCAATATTTTATTGTTTGACCCAGCTCAACCATACACATATTTTAACTAGATTAGCTTAATATCTAGTTTAAATAATAATTAGACAAATGGTTAGTTGGGTAACCTACCTATTTGACACCACTCAAAGGAAGAATAAAAATTTTAAAAAATTTTCTTATTAAAAATCTCAAAAAACATTTTTCAATAAAATAGGTCAGTTTTTATTTGAACAAAATGAGTATTTTTTTTCTTTTTTTTTGAAGATAAAGATGCTAATTCATTAATCATAGGCTGAAACGTTTACAATAAAGATCCATGGAATGGTCAAACATTCCTTACAGTCAGAAATAGAAACATGTGCATATGCCAAACATCCAAAAACCTTGAGATATTTGATAGAAGGTTTTCTCCCACTCCAAGCTTCTTCGGGTGTCTTATCACGGACACTTTTAGTTGGACACCTATTCAACACATAGACAGCACAAGCAACAGCTTCTACCCAAAAAGGCTTAGGCAGATTCTTGGATTTCAACCTGCACCTTACCATATCCATGATAGACCTATTCTTCCTCTCAGCCACTCTGTTTTGTTGTGGAGTGTATCTAGCTGTCATCTGGTGTTGGATACCCTTCTTCTTCAGAAAATCATCACAGGCAATATATTATGTACCTCTATCAGTTCTCAAGATTTTAATTTCATAACCACTTTGCTTCTCAACAAAAGCCTTAAATTGTTTGAAAACATCACATGCTTCAGACTTTTGCTTCAGAAAGTAAACTCATGTTTTTCTACTGAAATCATCAACGAAAGTAATAAAGTACTTATAACCTCCATGTGAGGGAATCTCCAACGAACACAGGTCTGAATGAATAATCTCTAACTGTTTTGTGGCTCTTCTTGACTTGCCCACATGGAAGGGATCTCTATGCTTCTTCCCAATCACACAAATCTCACAGATACGATTAGGGACATTCACAACAGGTAAATCAGAAACAAGTTCCTTTCTCGCAAGATAGTTTAATCCAGATAAATGAAAATGCCCAAACTGCATATTCCATAACCAATTATCATCGCAAACTTCAGAATTAAAGCAAGCAATGAGAGTATGCTTAATTTTCAAAGGAAATAGTCGATTTTGGGACATATTTACCTTTGGAATTAAAACTCCTTTAGCATCTGCTATGGTACAACACCCCTGAGCAATATCTATCTTATATCCTTTTTCTGACAACTGTCCCATACTCAACAAATTTTGGTGTAGTTCAAGAACATAGAACACATCGGATATAAAATTGTGAGTACCATCCTTCAACTGAATAGAGATTTTACCTTTTCCCAAAATTGGCACTTTTGACTTATTGCCAAATGTCACTTCAGACCGGACTGATTCATCCAGTTCAGAAAACAATTCTTTCTTCACACACATATGGTTACTACACCTAGTATCCAAGAACCATATGTTTTTATGTGTAGAAAAACTATCGCTGGCTAAAAGTAAAGTTTCAGAACTCTCACCAGAATTTTCAGCAGTGTTTTCAGCAATGTTTGCTTGATTTCCACGATTGTCTTCATTATACCAGCAATCTGCAATCTTGTGTCCATACTTGCCACAATTGTAGCAATGAAATGGAAATTTACCTCCTTGTTTGGTATTACCTCCACCTCTTACTTGGTTGAAGTTACCACTTCCTCCTCCTTGGTTGGAGTTACCACGACCTCTTCCACCAGAACCTCCTCTTCCTCTTCCACGACCTCTACTAGATCCTCCACCTCTTTGATTAGTGCCAGTCACATTAAGGGTGACTTGACTCTTCAAAGCTTCTTCAGCTAGTGGTTCCGATTTTGACGCAATTCTGTCAATATGACTTTCTACCATACCTTTCAGCTCTGCAATTGATAAGAGCTCAGTTTTGTGTGACTCTATGATCGAAGCCACCACATGGTCATACTTCATCGGCATAGTTCGTAGAACTTTTTCAACCACTGCACCATCTTCAATCGTATCTCCGTATAACATCATCTTATTCACCATATCAATAAGACGAGTGAAATACGCGTCTACTGTTTCTGTAGAGGTCATCTCACAATTGTCGTACAACCTTCTCAACGACTGCAACTTAGACTTCTGCGCCCGATCAACTCCTTTGTTTGACACCTTTAAGATGTCCCAAGCTTGCTTTGCTATTTGAGCACGAGCTAATTGCCCAAAAATGGAGTAATGAACACCTTGGTGAATCTGACCCAAAGCCAATTGATCTCACCGTGTTTGGGCTGCATTAGCTCCTTCGAGTAGACCGGGATCAACAAAGCTCCAAAGATTTTGAGCTTTCAAATGTGTGGACATCAGGTCGAGTTTCCCGTCTAATTTGGGACCTGACCATACAATATTGAAATTTGCAGCCATATTTCACTACGGGAAATATCTCGGGATTGAAAGGTTGACTGGCTCTGATACCAAATGTTAGATATATTAAATAATAATATATCTATATTAGATATATATATATTATATATAATATATCTATATACGCATATATAAAATTGAGAGAAAGAGAGAGAGGAATGAATGTGATTTTATTTAATGAATAAATCGATTGAATACATCTTATTTATACTAAAAGAATGATAACTAGCAAAGCTGAAATTTAGGCCTAATGCTCTAATCCATGATCCACGTACATACACGTACATACTGCATTCATGTACTGCTATGCTGCATGGCCCACGTAGTGCATTAATTTATAACAAACTTATTATACTTGGTTTAACAATTATAATAATATTATTATTATAACAATTCTCGGTAGTCTTTCCGATGTCCTGCAACCGGTTATCTCATCGGCTGCTTCGGCAAGTGATGCGTGGACACGTCTGTCCACTAGTTGTGCCGCTACGTCGAGGAAACGTGTGGTGTCATTAAAAGCAAAACTTGCCAAAAATCCTAGGGCCAACCGGTTTATTGACTCGTACATGAGGGAAATGCGAGTCATTACCGACGATTTGTCTCTTAATCAAAGTCCGGTGAGCGAAGAAGACCTCGTGATCCATATATTCATGCAACTTGGCGATGAATACAACCTCATTGTCGAGGCTCTTCGCGTGCGAACCCAGACTATCTCGTTTAGTGAGTTGCAATATGTGCTCACTGATTTTGAGAGGTTGATGAAAGATAATGAAGCTGCCTTGCACATCTATATGCCGAATGTGAATGCCACACAACGACGGTATAATGGCTTAGCTGACTTCCAATCTCAAAATTACAATCGGCGTGGCAGAGGGCGACAAAACCAGGTGAAGAATAACGGCAATCGGTTTGCTAGGTACTCTAATTATTGTGAGTATCCAAGGCATGACACCAAATTCTGCCGAAAACTAGCCAAGTTTTTGAGGGAGAATAATGTGGTTGTGCTTAAGCCACAAACAAAGCTCGGCAGTCTCCTTGGGTTCATGCTACTTCAACTGTAGCTTCGCCTACTCAGTCCTGGCTTATGGACTCCGGAGCCTCGCATCACACGGTCAATGATGCCACGTCGCTTCACACTCTGGCGAACTACACTGGACCTGACGAAATCATAATGGGCGATGGTAAGTCACTACGTATCTCACACACTGGGTCGATTTCTATACCCTTGAATAGTCGATCCCTCGTATTATCTGATGTATTGTGTGTTCCGAGTTTGCACAAAAATCTTGTTTCTGTTTCCAAACTCTGTAGAACTAACTCAGTTTCTGTTGAATTCTTTGATACATATTTTGTGGTTAAGGATCGGCAATCGGGAACTCC